CTATATATATATATATATATATATATATATATATATATCGTATATAAATTATATATAAGTTATATATATAAACTTTATTTTTCTATAATTTTTTAATACTTCAAATATTTTTATTTTCTATATATTCTTATTATTCGTCGTGTCCATGTTAAGATTAGATGTTAAATGTTTTGTATTTGGATGACATATAAGAGCAGTATCAAACAAAAAAATAAAATAATTATTTTTTTATTCATACTTCAGGTGTAACAACAATGCTCAACTTTTTCACCACGTCGAATGGCTTCCGGGGAACGCTGCCCGTTGTTTCAAATTTGACTGCCATGAACGTGTGGGACGGCGTGTGCATGTGTTTCATCTATGCAAGTCTTCTCGAGTTTGTTTGCGTGAATTACGTCGGTCGCAAACGACCAATGCACAACGTTGTCTATCGTCCAGGCGAGAATCCTGTCACCCAGGTACTTTGCTAATTTGAAGTATTTTTGATAATTTTATTTAACATGTAAACTATCAATGCAAAATCAGAAGTGCCAATTCGAATGGGACTGTACTGCCTTTTCCGCGTTAAATTATGATTTAATATAAATTAATGCAAATTGTTTTGTAGACATAGATGTAATATTTGGGATCGGTTTAAAAAGGAATCATTGTTGATTAGAAAAATAATTTACTTAATTTATATGAATTTCTGTATGAGCTTTTCAGGTTATTACATTCATGTAAACTTATAACATGCATGCATGTATATATAGTTATAAATAATTATGTTTATAGTATATGTAGACATAGAGCATCAATATATTTTAGACCGGTCCTAATGAATCATTATTTGTTGCAAAACAAATAGATTAAGTTGCAGTTTATAATGGAATTATATTAATTATCGTTGTTTTTCAGAAATAAATATAAATATCTTATGTTTGTGCTTATAAATTGACTTATAAAGATATCTGATATTAGTTGGTGTCTCTAAACTAAATTATGATCGCACATGAAACTAAGTGAGGTATCATGCAATGTATTACTATCCATTTAACTGATGTTAAATGAGGATTGTTGATATTGACAGTTTGATCTTGTCAAGAAGCAATATTATCTTCAATAGGCATGCAAATTGAAATTTTATAGTTGCCACAAGATCTTATGTTGAATATAACTTATAAAACAATCGCTTGTAAAACGATCACCTTCTTGATATAGTAGGTATAATTCGCAAGAACATTGCGACGAGAAAAAATGATTTTATATCTTAAAAATGCAATAGGATAAATACACAGGTAAACATATATAAAAAATCGGAATCTTATTTATCGTATGATTTATCGTCTTTTATATTGACTTATGCATCGCAAGTTGCGATCAAAGATTATGAACGTAAAAAATAATGTAAACGCGATGAAATATTGTGGACTTCCAAATGTGTTATTTTTAAGATTAGATTAGTAATTATGAACAAATTATTTGAAAAATAGATGTTTGCGCCATGATGCATCCTAAACCCTATTAAATTCTTAACACGTTCACTGTTCACTGATCCACATGTGATTCAGAACAAATCAAATTCACATGTCCATTGATTTATATGTTGGTCAGGATAGATCGAATTCAGACTTTCGTTGACTTATGTGGTACAACTTTTGATACAGAAGCAGATCTGTTTAAATTACTATGTAAGTAATTTAATTAAGAGTGCTATTTAAATGTAAGTAAACTATTTCAAAAAACATTCTATTGTTGCAAAATCTGACTCTTAAGAAGACATTACATGCATAACACGAATATTTCAGAACGAATGGTTAAGAGACATATAACTTATCTACGGATAGGAGTATGTTTGTTATTCGGACAGTGAACGAATTAAGGAAAAGATATTTTCCTTTGGATAGTGAACGAATTAAGGAAAAGATTTTTGTAATATTCGATGTTAATTTTACATGCCGTTAATTCTTTTATCGCGTTTACATGCTGCACACGAATTTGTGGCGTGACCTTGCACAAATATGAAATATGATTTGTTCACGTCTCTGCATCTTTTTTGAAATTTCTATGTCTATATAATTTTCATCTGTTTGTATTTTTTTCTAGATAGTGTGAGCATATCTTTTTTGCCAAATTTCAATCACTATTCCTCGTAAACTATGAAAGACTTGCGTGATTTATGCCATATCTTTATTGTTAGTCATTAATCAACCTATTCTGAAATTTAATATAGCAACATGTATATATGATATTCATAACATATGTTTACGTTACTATAAAATGTAAATACTTTGTATTTAACATATAAACATCGATTTCAAGGACTAATTTGAAAGAAGAAAAAAAGAATATAATTTACTGCCATATATTGGATAGTTTAACATGTATGATGGTGATTTACATGTATATGACAAATATGAAAACTGCTGGCATAAATAAGGCGCTATTCCTTCAAAAATGTTCATTATTTCCAAAAAAGGCTGCGGTATGCTTATCTTTATCATTTAACTGCTTTATCATTTAACTTTCTCTTCTCTCTTCTGTCTGTTTTTCTTTTTACTCCTCCTTTGCTTTCGCTATCTTTTTTCTTCCTTCTTCTTTTTCTTTATCTTTTTTGATGAACATCTATTTTGTTGAAATTCTTTCCCAATAGACTGCATTTTCGTTTATTATTACTGCATTCATTTATTATTCTATCAATATACGTAATTTTCAGTAAATTTTATGATATATAATATTTCGAAAAATTCCAACAGTATTCCTTATCTTTTTTATTTCTATACTTACTAATATTACCATTGAATTTTACAAGGATAAGTATGGAAGTATATTATAAATGAAATGTAAAATAAAAATTATTGAAAAATTATTGAATATATTTCAAAATAAATCATAATTTTTCTTATGAAATTTAATGCTGTGAAATATGAGAAAAATTAATGTATATTATTGAAAAGAGAAAAATTAATGTTATTAATGAAAAAATATTAAAATGAAAGTAAAATAGAAATAATTGATAGAGAATTTCAACGCAAAATATTTTTATTAGGATTTTTCTTTTCTTTTTTCTTCTGTGTCTTTTCTTTTTTTCTTTTGTGTCTTTCTTTCTTTTTATTGCTCTTTTTTTATCTTTTATCTTTTTCCTTTTCTCTTTTCTTCTTTTTCCTCCTTTATCTATTTATTTCATATTCTCTTTTTTCTTTATGTTTTTCTATTTCTATTATAAACACGATTAGAAATTTGGTTGGTAGAAATGTTGTTGAGTAAGTCTCTTTGTTTGGTGTCTGTGATGTTGCAGCGGCTTCCAGCGGTGCTCAGCAGGATAGGAATTATATTGGCCAGCCCCTTGGTAAGACCCCCTGTTAAATTAGGGTGTAGTCATGACTTCGTACGTTTTTAGCTCTTACAAAAAAATACAAATTGCAAAATATTTTCCTCCAGTTTGTCAGAGTTAAAATAGAATTAAAAAATGAAAATATCATTATTTGAAAATAATATATGTTATAATATGTGTATACGAATTTGTACACAATTATAACATCGTAAATAATTAAATATTATAAGAAAAGACAAGAAAAAGATCCAGTACACGTACAAAGTCTTAACTGCGTCCTAGAAACCTACAGATGCAGGATAGCATAACATAACAGTATAAACATTTATTTCATTATCTAGATATCATGCATTTTTTACATCTTCACATCTTATTAACAATGTATCATAAAGAAATACATAAATACCTTTGAAATTTAAATTAAGTCCGAATATTCCCATTAAATTTGATTTATATTTATATATTTCATAATTTCAGATATAAATCAGTTGTTTCTTTTATAAGCCTTTATATCTTTTTGAGAGCTGTACTGAAAGAGTCATACTAAAATATGATTTAGAAAAATTCATTATAATTTTTATTAAATAGGAAGATTTCTGTACAAATATCTTACATTTTGAATTTTCTTATGTCTTGAGTTTTATAATAAATGTTTATAACAAATGTCAAATATAAGGAGTTTTATAAATTAATTAATTAATTAATTAATTTCAATTTTAAATTATTATATTGTTTATTTTAAATTACTAGTTATATTTGAAATAATCTTTATAATAAAAAATAATCAAATTATCTGAATGTCAATAATTATAAAATCTGATCAAACTGATTCAACAAAAATCAAATCATCAATGATATTAAAAAATTTTAATTATTAATTTTTAATATTGCAAACAGTACAAAGAAGAAATAGAATAGAAATTTTGGAAAACTAATTTTAAATTTTCAAACAAAAAAATATCTATTTTAATATTCATTACACAGTATTTGTTTCATATTTTATGAAAAGATAGTTTTCAATGCTACTATAATTATCTATCATTATAATTAAATAATTATATTCAATCTGTAATGAGTAATTGTAATATAATTATTTGATCATATAGAGTCAATATTTTATATTTATATTATTGAAAGTAGCGATCAAATTATTTTTATATATGTGGGAAACTAATTTTTAAAGTGCTGCAGAGTGTTCTTTTGAAATCATATAACTATCATAATCATAAGAGTGATTCATAGTGTTATAATAAAAAACAAGAGTAAATAAGAATCAACGCTGTAAACACTTGCGCAATTAACACTTTTTACTACAAAACCACTTTTATTACAAAATTCCTTTTGACTCAAGTTTGAGCGGTACAAGTTTGAGCGGTACAAGTTTCAGTACAAAAAAGTATAAACATTGCGTTCATACGATGAGCTCAATCACAAGAATTAATGATATCATATCATCACGTTAATCAACTGGATGAAATCATTAATTATTCTTGTAACAGTATGTATCATTTTCTATTAAATAAAACGAAAAGTGGTCACTGAATGGCTATCTCTCACCAAATGAACACAGTTGACACACACACACACACACACACACACACACACACACACACACACACACACACACACACACACACACACACACACACACATTGAAAATGGAAAAACACGCACACAAGAGCACGAGATAATTCGCACCAAGTAATATATTGTACAGCGTGTCTGCACGCCTTAAACTCAAGGCAGCAACTAAACACAGTGGTTCTGAAATTCCACAATATGCAATCGAAACGAAACCAAGACTAACTTGCTCAAGACGGAAACGTATGCGTAATGCAAAAATTCAATATCAGATTGCGAATTTACGTTGTTATTCTGTCTTTTAATTTTATTAGCATCACTGAAATCTTTGAAATCAATCGCTTCTGTAAATTTCGCTCATTTCGCTCACAGTCCAAACACATCATTCCAAACAAATTCGTGGTCGTAGTCTATTTTATGTTCAATAATCAGTGAATATATTTTTGTATTTCTACGTATGTGATTTTGGTGTTCATGCAGTCTCGTTTTTAATTATCTCATGGTTTGTCCAACATAGCACGCATTGAAATTACTAAAGAAGATCTTGTACATTACATTCCTTTTGAAATATGCTGGTAGAGCGTCCTTATGAACTCTGATTATGCCTCTCAACTTATTCATGCTAAGAAACGCGGATTTAGTATCAAAATCATTAACAATTTTTTTTGAACTTAGTTGCAATTCACAAATGAAACAAAAGGTAAAGCGAACCATTTTATTTCCATTTTATTTGATTTTACTGTATTTGATGCTTAATCTATCATCTCGTTTAAAAAGAATTTTTAATCTTGAATAAATATTATCAAAAGTAAAGTTGAGAGGGGTAATCATTCATTAATATAATCACTAAATCAGTAATCACTAAATGCAAGTTTTTTTTTATAATATTTCGGATGAGAAAGTAAAAATTGAGGTACCTCCCTAAAAATATAGATTTATGAAACCAATCAATTTCTATGCCATTATTAACAATTTTTAAATTCAAATCAAGAAAATTTAATTCATTCCCCCCTATCTCAGTGGTAAATTGTAATCTAGGATGGTAAGAATTGAATCTTCCGAGAATCTCATTGATCAACTCAGAAGGAATAGTCACTGCGATATCATCGACGTATCTATAAAGAAATGGTAAAGAAGCTCAACACTCTCAAGCACGCTATTCCAAATCTCTCAGCACCTTCTCGCTCAAAAAAGAGGCACTGTTGCTGGACTTATCGATAGCGTTCTTATTATCTCACCCGAAATACTATGAAAAAACTTGAATTTAGTGATTATTATTCTGTTAATGAATTATTACTCACCCTCTCACCTTTATTTTTGATAATATTCATTCAAGATTAAAAATTCTTTTTAAACGAGATGATAGATTAAGTATGTCAAATACGATAGTAAAATCACAGGAAACAAAATGGTTTACTTTACCTTTTGTTTCAGGAATTGCAACTAAATTCAAAAAAATTGTTGATGATTTCGATACTAAACTACGTTCTTTAGCATGAATAAGTTGAGAGGCATGATTAGAGTTCATAAGGACATTCTATTAGCACATTCCAAAAGGAACATAGTGTACAAGATCTGCTGTAGTAATTGCGGTGCGTGCTCGGACAAACCATGAGACAGTTAAAAACGTGGTTGAACAGCAAAATCACATATGTAAAAACACAAAACACTATTGTACCCCGGATGGGCTACAATAGTGTTTTGTGTTTTAACGATAATATTAGAGATAGTCGGGTTCGTTAAGCCTAAGGAGTTGGGACTCCGAGCAGGATCAAAAGAATGGAAGGAAATCTTCTTGAATTCACTAACACACTTTCTTTATTTTAATTGGTTTATTTAATAAATGCATAAATTCTTGAGTTTAGTATTTCTTATTTTATTACTTTACACACGGTTAAACGTCGGCGGGCGACTCGGCGCGTATCGCGTTACTCTGGTGGCCGACGACCGAATATGTCACCTGAGACGCTGATAGTACGGCTCGCGTGAACTTCGCCGCGCTCTTGTAATATCTTGCGCGATAATTATAATAATGATTCCGAACGACACGTTATTCTTTACTTTTGACTCTCCAGCGACTCCGCCTTGTGTAACCGGTTATATAGTCTGATTGATGCCCGATCAGCATTCTGATCGATTGCGTCGATCAGTTGCGATATTGATTAATCAATGTTACGCTCGGTTTGATCATCAAATTTAGGAAATCAAATTTTGCTGATAGGCTTTTTCAATGTTCTCGCGTGATGCATTTTCTGCGGTCTTTCGAGATTCATGCGATCTAATTTTGTTGCCATGCGGACTACTTTTATTATTGGTTGTTATTTTATTATTGGTTGTAGATCTGGCTACAACAACACACAATCACACAAACACAAAAACACATTCAATGATTACCAAATATAGAATAGATTACGACCACGAATTTGCTTGAAATGATGTGAAGGTGTTGGACTGTGAGTGAAATTTACAGAAGCGATTGATTTCAGAGATTTCAGAAAAAACAATTGCTAATAAAATTAAAAGAAAGAGTAACAGCCTAAATTCGCAGTCTGATACTGAATTTTTGCATCACACATACATTTCCATCTTGAACAAGTTATAGCCTTGGTTTTGTTTCGATTGCACATTATGGAATTTTATAATTTGTTCAGTTGCTACCTTGAACTGAAGGCGTGCGGACGCACTGTGTATATACACTGTATATATTACTTAGCGCGAATTGTCCCATACTCTTGCATGTGTATTTTTTCCGTTTTTAATGTATGTGTGTGTCAACTGTTCATCTAGTGAGTGACAGCCATTCTGTGACCACTTTTTCATTTTATTTAACAGAAAAGATGATGGAGATACATACTGTCACAATAATAATTATTAATCAACGATTTCATCCAGTTGATTGATATGATATCATTAATTCTTGTGGCTAGGCTTATCGAATGGACACGGTGTTATTTTATTTTTTTGTACTACTGAAAATGAGACTCAAATTTGAGTCGAACCGTTTGGAGTTTTGTAATAAAAAGTTGCAATTTTTTGTAATAAAAAGTGTTAATTATGCAGCGTTTACAACGCTGATTCTTATTTGTCCTATTGTTTCCCATTTATAAATTTCGTTATAAAACATGTGTATCTTTAATATATATCTTGTCACAAAATATATTATCACACATATCATCTCAAAATTTTTGCATTTGGAATATAAGACGATTCTTTATACTAAAAGAAATAGCTCTTTCCTTTAGCAAGATTGTGTCTGACAAGTAGTTTTCATAGAATTGATAAAATTAAGAAATAAGCATTCTTATCTATTTAGCGAGTCGACGTACATTTCTTATTTGCTGATCCAGCGCATGATCTTCTTCCATATTTGCTTAAAATATAAAAAATTTATTTTATTTTATTTATTTTATTTGCTAAATATAGTTTTGCAAAAA